CCTTTTTTGGATTGTGTAACGTTACTCAAGTGCCCAAAAAGGAAATTTTGGCCGGAATTATAAAATTTGGCTGAAATTATAGGAAATGGGATTTGGGATGGGATTTGGGATTTGGGATGGGATTGGGATTGGGATTTGGGATTGGAATGGGAATGGGATTTGGGATTTGGGATGGAATGGGATGGGATGGGATGGGACTCCCATCCCATTTAAATGGGCGGCAAGTATAATTACAATCGAATTTTTAAGAGAAGTGAGTTACTCATATAAGATATAAATATATATTGACACTTTCTAATTTATAAATAATGTAAATAATATAAATGATAAACTAACTTATATAATGCTTTTTAGATTGAATCACATATTGTTGCATGTTACCAAGGTTATGTAATTCGCTGTTATGGCATTACTAGAGATCCGGAATCTAATAATTTTATGATGGTAGTGCAATATGCAGAAAATGGCAATTTAAGACAACGCTTAAATAATAGTTTTAATTCAATGAATTGGGAAGAAAAGTTGGATATCTTAAAAAGAACTGCATCTGGACTTGAAAATATTCATGATAAGGGATTAATTCATCATGATTTTCATTGTGGTAATATATTGAATGGTACAAAAAGGCAGCACACTTATAATCAAATTCGTATTACTGATTTAGGATTATGCCGACCAGCAAATGTAATACCTTCTCAAGATGAAAATAAAAATATATACGGAGTATTACCTTATGTAGCACCTGAAGTTTTAAGAGGAAAAGAATATACTCAGGAAAGTGATATTTATTCATTTGGAATTATTGCATATGAAGTGTGTACAGGGCTTCCACCTTATCATGATATTTCTCATGATCAATTCTTAGCTATTAGCATTTGTCAAGGGCTTAGGCCAAAATCTAGTTATAAAATTCCTCAAACAATTTTGAACGTAATTGAACAATGTTGGGATGCTGATCCTTTAAAACGACTTAAAGCAGATGAATTAAGGACATCATTAACTCTTTTATTAAGTCATTCAAGTAAATATCAGAGTGAAATTAATAAGCAAATTGAAGAAGCAGATAAAATTAATGAAAAGTTTACTTCTACTTCATTACCATATATTGGTGCTACTCTTTCATATACTACCAATCCTCAAGCAGTTTACACAAGTAGACTTTTAGACTTTAAAAATCTTCCAGAACAAAAAAATGCTATTGATAGTAATAATGATGATAATTCATTTGAATATTTAGGTAATTTATTTCATAGCTTATTTTAAAAAAAGAATTCTCAAGATGCTTATAAAGAAAAATATCTTTATCTTATAGAATCCATAGAAGCAATAGATTTCACTACCTAGGTATTAATTTATATTAATTTTTACATATTTTAGCTTTATCAATAATATTAACAATTATTTAATTTAATAATTCATTTTTATAGATAAAAGTAACCAATTTATTAGTATTTGCTATTGCTTGCTATTTATTTTCTTTATTACTACTACAATATATATATTTTATTGGAATATTTTTTTTTTATAATAGTAACTAAATATGTATCGATAAAACTATTAAGTACATAAATAAAAATCTATTATATAAATAAGCCAGTCCTAGTACTAAGTATTCAGTTACTTATATATCCCTCGTAATATGAATTTAAAATTGTGGAAATGTCTTTGTTGTTTAATGAAAGAAAAGTCATTGTAAGAATTTATAAAACAAATAATGTCATTTAAAGAAATACAAGTATTAGAATACAAATCCTTTGTAAACAAATATGCAGAATGCTACTTGAAACAGTATATTAAACCACTTGTCAAACCAGTGAATCTAGTTATTTTATAAAGATTGTCAAATAAACTTCTAATGTAACAAAATTGGGTTTAAAATTTCTGTTAAAGATTATTATTACTCTAAAAATAGAAATAAATAAAAAGGAAAGTAAGTTAAATTGATTAATAATTGAAAATAAAAGAATGATTACTTAGAGTCTTGATTATTACATTCTCATATATACATTATAACGTTTTCTGTATATATTAAAAAAAAATTAAGGTTTATATTATAATTTTTGAAACAAAAATTAATATATTACGTAAAGAAAATAAAAAATTGATAAATTATAAATAAAACATACCACAAAAAAAAACTGATGATTTTGACTTTTTAATAGGCTAATTATAATTTCATTCTAAATCTCTATTACATTAAATTAAGAATACATTAAATTAAGAATACTATGACTGAATATTCTTCAAATAAATTATCATCATCATCAGTGTTAATATCATTTTTGGGTTTTAAAAAAATATTTACAGTTAAAGTAAATCCAAATTTTAATACAATGTATCCATAGGTATGATAAGCAATTATCTTAATATTAGTAAAGTCATGAGATCTAAAACAACAGGCAATTTTAATGGACTCAATCCATTATCAACTTAAACTTTCAACAATAAAGGGAAATATCATCTCTGGGAAACATATAATAAAATTAGATGATATTTCAATTTTTAATAACCGATCTAATATTAGTTTTATCCCGGATTGGCACAAGAGATATCATTCTTTCTTAAATAAATTTGATTGAGTAATTCCAAATCATCCTTTGTCCAAATATTCAACTTTTCAAGTCTATAATATTCAATTCATTCTAAAACTTCACTACAACTTTTAATTTTTGAGTTGTAAATTGTGAATAAACTTATCAAACTTCAATGATTTTCACTAGTCCAATTTTTAAAATCTTCTTGAAAATGTTTAGTGTTACATAACTGACACCAATAATTGTTATAATATTGACCAGCCTTAGGTTGCCTACAACGCCTATTCAATACTTCATTTAATTAACTTATAAATCACGGTACTTTGTTTTTTTGGTTAAATCCCAACAGTTAAATCTTTTACTTGTTTATCACAAAGCTTATTCTTCATCTGAAAGTTGCCACATTATATTATCTCTAAAAAATTTAGGCGTAACCCGTCGCGTTGCGCCAGGGACGATAAAGTATGAGAGTAATAATAAATAAACTTATATTTTATTTACCATGCAGTGTAAATAGGTCTAGTTATATACTATTATTATGATGGGATTAGTAGGAAATAAATGTAATAAATTACACAATTTATATGATTATACAAATAATAATGAATTGTGTGCAAGTGTTATACAGCATATGAAATATTATTATTAAACGCAAAATAGCAATCTATTGTTATGGAAAAAAAATATCTCACTAATTAATATGAAAAAAAAAATCCCCAAAAATCAATTATAACAATCTATTGTTATGAAAAAAAAAAAAAAATATTCCCCAGAAAAATTAATTATAACGATCTATTGTCATAAAAAAAATAATTTCCCATAAAATTTACTATACCGATTTATTTGTTACTAAAAATAAATAAGTAAATTATATGTCAGTCTATTATTGAGCTAAAAAATAATTAGGGAAAATATTATTATAAATAATAATAAGAATCGGGGAAAAAGGCAATTACCGTGGTGCCGCAGCGTCAATCCAAATGACCAAATCTAAATGGTTTAAGAATGTACGAAAAAAAAAATATTCGATTTGAAAAAAAAACCAACTCGAAAAAAGAAAAGCGAAAAAAGAATTTTCGGATTGGAAAAAAAACCAACTCGAAAAAAGAAAAAGGTTTTAAAG